TTTGAAGGTTTTCAGAAATGCAAGGCAGCTATTGCTTGGTGTTTTTTTTTTTTTTTTTAAACCAGTTGGCATAATGCCTTGGGGCTTGATTTATAAAGTAGCCAAGCGCTGCAGGGTTTTGGCAGATATACTTGCTTGAACAAATGCTTTTGTTTGTCACACCAATCAGTCTTTAGGTATGTCTCTTCTACCTTCCCCAGGAATTTTGTTGTACTGCATGGCTTCAGCAATTTAATCCTTTGCTTTGAGTGCACTTCAGCCTTAAAATACTTAAAGATTTTAATATTTCTTCTGGGAGTTACAATGATTGGATGGGTAAATACCATTCATTCACACTTGGGAGGGGGGGAAACGTAGTTTCTGAGGAAGGATTTCTCAATTTCAGACAATAACAGTTGCATGGCACCTTCATTAATGAGATGGCACAGTTTGTAAAAAGACAGTTGTGAAAAATGAAGCAGTTGAAATTGCTTTTAAAATATAAATGGACATCTCAGGGGCTTCTATTAGGAGAATATATTTTCTAAATTGCGCTATGTCTTTAATGTTTCTTTTAAGCTGAACATTTTGATTCTGAAATGAAATTATATAATATTATTTAATAGTTCTTTACCTGCCTAGCTTTAAATCACAATTTGTAATTAAGCTTAATATGAAATTACAAGATTTGATTTAATGCTTTCTTCCAGTACCTAGGCTAATGTTCTCTGCATTTGAAGGTACAGTCTTTGAGCTGAGCTTTGAGAAGCTTTGTTCTTCTAACAAAAGGCACCAAAAATAAATTCAGTTAGGGTCATTGTGGTTTAGTTTAATACTATTATGATAATAAGTACTATAATTACTTTCAGGTAGCTTTTCCTTCCCAGAGGATGAGATTTTTAGTTTTATGCCTGCTTAAAGCATGAGAATGACAGTAAAATTAATGTCATAACCTTTGCAGCCTATTTAGCCTTTTTTTTAATAGTATCCTGAAGGATTTTGTGTAACATCTAAAATAAATGTCTTAGTGTGGGCAAGCATCAAATTAGGTTAATTGGGTTCACCTGATATTCAAATTCAGCATATGTATCAGGGCAACAATTTCATATAGAAGACTGTGGATATATTTCTGTGAAAATTGCTTTTAAATTGTTGCCTGTATATGCTCTAGTTCCTTTTTCTGTGTGCTAAAGAGTGATTTATAATACAGTTTTAAGATTATTTTCAGTTTATTTGATATTTTGGGTTTTGTTGACTTTCGTATGGTTATGTAAGGAGTGGTAAAGTCAAGAGAAGATGTATTGGTAGCATTGAGATAAATTATATTTTTAGTTCTGTCCAAGACAGCTTTAACTTATAATCCTGATAATAGCTTTCTTTTCATTTCTGAGCAATCAACGGTAGATTTCTAGGGAACTGTTATGACTCCTGGGGTAATTAATCTTGAATGCTTTGTTTATTGTTCTGTACTAGTTTTACAAACAGAGTAAAACAGATCTAAAGATTACATAGAATTTCTAGATCCTGGCTTTGTATTGTGGATCTTGTCATTAGGATAGGCTCACTCCGTTAGGATGGAGTCAGATTGAGCCAGGTGATAGGGCCCATCAGCATCACACTTGTTATTTGGAAAGAACCCCTACTGGGTTCTTATGCAAGTGCTGTGAAATCCATTTGTAATTAAGGAAAATGCCATGTCAAGCCAGGTGCTATTTTTTTTTTTTTTCAAATAAATTCTAGTGAGGCAGGTGCTGAGAGCTGTATAGATTTTGTAACCTTCAACTTCTGCACTCCTGTACTATCCACTGCCAGAATCCCAGAACTTAGTGATAAAGTATCAGTGGACTTGCATCAAACGTTTGTCGATATTGAGAATCTATTAAATGTGTTACAACCTGGCTGAAAGATCTCAGCAGCTGTCAGTAGTGCGTGAACATGAATCCTTAGATCCAGGATAGTTGGGGTGGGACTGCTTCCAAGACTAGCACTAGTCAGTGATCAGAAAGCCTCACTGCCAACAAAATTGGAAATTGTGTAAACACAGACATGGCAGTTGCACAGTTATGTACTTTTTTCTAAAACATGTTTGTATACAATAAAAATGTACTGAAATACAAATTCTTTCATTTTTCATTGACATGTTCATTGAGTTTTTTTCATTGACGGTAGCTGATGGTGAACTAAACAGTCAAATGAGAGTATTTGCTAGATCAAGAGAGATATCTTTCTGCTATTAGAGTTGGATGCAAAACAGAGATGTCAGCAGAGAATGTTTCATTTTGTAGAGCCTCTCTGTTTAACATCAGAATTTGTGAATGCCTGGAAGAAGATGTAGGTCTTGTATTTTCATGTATTATTGTAGGAATTATTGATCTATATTTTTAAATCTGACTAATTGTTATAATCCGAAGGGGAATTAGTAGCCGTAAGTGAGGTAATCTCTTAAGTATTTAAATGTGCTGTACAACTCAGAGTATGGACATTTGGAAATAAACATTTTGAGAAGCTGCATTTGTACGCCCACTTCTTAAATTGCTGTTCACAAGAATTATGCGTGTGAAAACTGCTTCAGTATGTTTTTGTGTACTGGCAGCATTAAAGCGGAGGGAAAACTTAGGACTGTCGTTCTGTAAGAAGACTTCGAGAGATACGGGGGAAAAAATACGTATTACAGCCCGGGTGGCAAGTTGAAAGTCCGTGCTGGTTCCTGGAAGTGTTTTTCTCCTCCTAGTTAACGCCGGTTTGGTCTGTTCCGCTCTCGTAGTTGCTGAGGATGCCGGTGGATGTTACACGATGTGAAACAGGGGTTTAGATGAGACCAAGTCCCCTCGTGGGCAGTGCGCGACTCCTGGGGCCTTGGCTGCGTAAGCACCACGGACAGAGGCTGTGCGCGCCGCGGCTGCCGTGCTCGGAGCCACGGGCCCCGCTGGAGCGCGAGACGGGCGCGCTGCGTGGGGCCCAGCGCAGGAGCGGGGCTGGCAAAGGCATCCTCGGGTTCCTGCGCAAGTGGCCTCATTGCTGCAGCCGCATCTTCTGCAGTCACCTTATCTGTTGTGTTGAACTTCCTGCAAAGGTCTTGGTTTTGCCTCTTTTATATGTTCCTGCTACCCACAGAACCATCATGTGCCTGGGAGCTTACTGGTGCTTTTTCAGAATCATCGGTTACACAATAGGCAAGAAGAGTATTTGAGGCTTACTCTTAGGCTATATAATTGTGACAGATTTTGTCCTAACTATTTTTAAAATATTTTTTTCGTACTAATATGCTTAGTAGGAGGCTCTTGAGCTCAACTCTAGAATGTTCTTTGTTTATGATTCTACTGAGTGATACATTAACCAGAAAAATACACTTTACCACCTCACAGTTGGCTCTGCTTATGGGAGATACTTAATAGATACACAGTGGTAGGACAACTAGTTCCAAGTAGGTGGAAGTTTCATTTGTGTCAGTGGTCTTGTCTGTGGCCTTCCCAAGTCTCCAACCACATCAAGACAAGGGTTTAATATCCTGAACAACACACAAATCTTTCTTAATATGTAAAACCAAGCTCAGGGCAGCCATTTCAAAATCAGTATGTCTTATGACACATCTGAATAAATAATAAGACAGTGATCCTCATTTTATATTATCCTTACGTTACATTGTCTTACATAATCGACTGCCAAGTCACGCTTGACCAAGCAACACACCCTAACTGTACTGGAAAGAAGTATGCCACCCTCGAAGTCACTTAATGACAACTTGATGTAATGCTACTTTGTGTCAAACACTGTGCATCAAATACCGTGTAAAACTCTCCAGAAGAGTTGGCCGTGTGATGTCTGTTTTGCAAGTGTGAGCTAAGCTTCTGCAGCCGAGGTTCTAAGGAAGGTTCTGCTTGTTAGTCAACTACATTGGATCCTTGCAGGCAAATGTTGGAAGGAAAAGGATTGCATTAGCCCTGCGTTCCATGGTTCTTCGGAACGCAATATCACATACGCATTATGACATATTCTTTTTTTGCTTTAAAAGGAGTTGTGAATTACAAGAAAGCTGATCATTGTACCCACTACTGAAGTATGAATAGTGCGTATGAGCATATTTGTAACTTGGAGAAACACTTGATAGAAAACTCCAGTGTTGTTTGTATGAGGTCTGGACATCCTGGGATCTATAGAAGGAACAGAATTTTGGAAAATTACTGCTGCAATAGGATAGCTATCCTTTTTTTACAGATTCTAGTCCTCATTAAAAAGAGAAAAAGTAGTACTATGTGTACATCTGGTTTCGATATATAACATAAGAATATATGTGTATATATAATAATATGGCATATATGTTAGTATGCTGTCTCAGTACATATGTTAACTAAAATTGAAGACAGACTAAGAAACGCCTAGTGTAATGTTGAAGATACCATTTGATAAAGCAACTGTTTAATTGGCTAAATTATCACTTGCAAAGGTTGACCTTTCGTGCTAAGTATGAGGTAGGTTTGCTGGGACACGTGGAAGTTTTTGGTTTTGCATTGAGCAACGCTTGTGCTGTAGGTGTTGAAAATTAGTTCGAGTTGTTGACATTTTCTTCAATCCCTGAATTGGGTTAAAGTACCAATATGTTAAGAAAAAGTATGAAAAGATATAAAAATGTTTGTGTGCTTTAGAAAATACTTTGCTTGACTTGATTTTGCTTTACTTGCTCGTCCAGTTCTTATAAAATAGTTCGAGATGTCTCAAAATGTAAAACATGATACAAAATTTTACTTAATTTATTCTTTTAACAACTTTTGCCAGTATAACAATAAAAATAATTAAATAGCATATAAAAATATTTGGTTTGTGCATATGAAAATATATACCTTCCTTGTGATTCTTTTCTTTATATTCAAAAACTTCAATATGACTTTTTTTTAAAAAGTTCTCTCTAAAATGTGGCTTTTTTGTTTCAAAGTCTGGTCATACTTTGATACACTCCATTACTAACTTTTTTAGTTTCTGAAAAAGTTTCAGAGCTTCTAAGTATCTGTATTTCTTCCTTCCAGGAACGCTGTCGTATTTATTAGAGGGCATAATGCAGAATCCTTTAACTTTTTCTGCAGGTACAGTATACTTTCTGTGCTTCTGAGGGAAGTTAGAGGTTGTTTGACTTGAATTGTCATTGTTAATTAATAACTTTATTACTTATGTATTTTATTCTACCCTAATTTGTTTTTTTTAAAAACAACTATTATACTCTAGCAGTTATTATTTAAAACAATTGCAGTGGCCAAGATTGTTTTATTTAGTGCTTTACTAATAACTGTTTCTACCTGTGGTTGAAGCTGTAAATAGATAGCTCAGCCTCTTAGTTGCTTCAGCAGATTTAAATATCCAGGGTTTATTGCAATCTATTTTATCCCAATATATTTCAAAATCATTGTCATATTTGATGACCATGTAATTGGGGGTCAAACAATATAACAATTTTAAAGTTATAGTAGAAGAATAGTACAGATCAGTATATGTTTCTAAATTTATAAATAAAATGAATATTGAGAAATTTAATTTATAATCTTATATTTAAGTACTGTTTTTCCAGCAGTTCTATCGTTATTGACATTTTTCTACCTAACTGTTATTATTCTTTTGTCTTTTCAGTGTTTTTTGTTGATTTGTCTGTAGTTAGCATCTGATTTTTTTTTGTTTTGCTATTAGTAAGGGTGTTTTGGCTGTAAGAGTATATACCCAAGCCTCTACATGTTTTCTCTGACTTACATTTGCTTTCCATGTTGATCTGTGTCACAACACTAGTATTTAAATGTGATTTTTAACTTGAATGTCAGCTTGAATGGTAATTCTTAAATGTGGGGGAATGTTGATGTGTGTGACATTAGCACTGACAGACTTTTCAGAGCAATTGCAGGCTGCCAGTTAAGTGTCCATTTTCAGTGCTTATAGTAATGGGGGAAAAAAAGCAAATATTAACTGTAAGCCTCGAGCTTTTACTCTCATGAAAGTTTATATTTTACTTGTTTTGACAGATGTAGCATTTTTATGACACTGTAGTAATTCTGAGGAAGCCCTTCCAGGGTGTTGTGCAAATTATCTTAGTTGATGAGTTCTGTGCCTTCGGGCACCCTTCTTCCGAGGGCTAGACGGGCTGAACAGTAGTGTGAAGCCATTCAGCTTGCACTGGGCACCTTGTCAGTGTATTTGTGACTCAAGTAGTTAATTCTAGTGCTCGAAAGCTTTGATTTAACTATTTCTTTAAATAACAGAGATTTGAGGATTTGAGGTAGTCAATTTTAATGTTATCTTTGCTAAAGACATTTCTGAAAATTAGGAGGAAAAATGTCAACTGTGAAGCTGTTTGCAGGACTTAAAAGTAATGAGTCATTTGCTTTGGGAATTTCTTTTAGTGAGAAATCCTTCCAGTGAATATCCTGTTATCATCTTTCACCCCAAGTGAATTATAACAGCCATCTTCTAAACTTTGGAAGTGGGGAGTCATGTTGAAAGCTGTAACCAGCTCCTGAGTAAGGGCTCGGCCCCTGTGGAACCACGGTGCTCCACAAAGGTGCTTGACTCAGTGTGTTTTGGTTTTGCATTCTTCTACCATTGCTTTATCGTTGTATCAAGTATCAGTTTTGTTTTCGAATGTGTCATTGTGCTTAGAAAGTGCTGAAACTGTGTTAACAACTTTTGGTAATTTATGTGCCACTGTAAGTTGGCACATTTATTACAAAGAAGGGATTCGAAGACATGGAAAGCTGGTACTGGCAGTAGGACCTGTCAGTCAGTTACACACAGAGTAGTGTTTCTGTCAGCCTTGCTCTGCCTTGAAAGTGTCTGTTATTTTTCAGGAGAATGTGGAAGGATTAGTGCAAGTTCTTTGATTGACAGCATAAATCCTCTCCTGCCATTTGTCATGTAATAGCAGGAGTCTTGTAATTGAATATATACTTGTTCAGGATGTGTGCATCTTTCTCAAATTAAAATATTTCATAGGAAAACTGATTCTGTCATTTATGCAATCACCCACTGAGACCTTCTGTTCAAAAAGTTGCCTTTTTCTGAATAATGAGACATATTTAATTTCTGAGATTTTAATTATTTCCTAGGAATTATGAAATCAGCACTGGAGCGTTGAATCTGTAATTCACATTCATGCTGATATTTGCTGTTGAGCGAGTTTAAATGTTTTTTTGTGCTGTTCCATAATTGCACAAAGTATCATTGTAGGCTATTGGCTTTGGATGAGTAGCATTATCAGATTAATAAAAACCCTTTTGTTAAATGACTCAGGCATGAAGTGATTGTGTAGGGGAGGCTGTCCACGTTCACCTAGAAGTTCCTTCAATGCTGTTCTCTGTTTTTATGATATAGGTTGGAAGAGCTTATTCATACAAGCTGGAATTGTAGTTTTGCTTCTTGGGTGTCTTTGTTTTAATAAAAAAGATCACTATATAGTCGAAAAAAGTCTTGTATATGGCTTGGCAGATTGTGTACCGGTGTTAGCGTGGTTCTACGGCCAGGAGATCTCAGCCTTCAATTAACCATGTAAATGGTTCTTAACATCAGCGCTCACTTTGCTGGAACCCCTGCTGCCTTTATATCATGAACATAAATGCAGGTGCAAATAGCGTGTAGGCACTTTGCTAGGAAGCAATTGGAAGCATTTCACCCTGGGACATGGCACTCTCAGACTGTGTACATCTGTTCAAATAATGTGTCCAAGGCAGTGACATGAGTGCAGGGATACAAACATCTGCCCCCGGGACCGTGTGCCATCCAGCAGGAGCTTACAGCTTTATTTGTGCAGATGGGCTGTGTGCCAGGCTGGGCCATGGTGAGCACAAGGAAGTTTGATCACACATTGCAGAGTGTTTCTTGGGATAGGAAAATGTAGTAATAGGCGGATTGGTAAGTTAAACTTGATAACTGTGCTTAACTTCAGCCTATCAAAAAAGAATATCTATTTAAATATATAGATCGTTTTAGTAATACAAACATTATTCCTGGGATTATTCCTCATATTAACTAGATAAGCACAAAATCAATAAGAAGTTTATTAATTATTTTTTCACAAAATTTCTGCTGTGCTTTCAGAAAGATCCTAAATAGTTAAATTTGAGTAATTACTTTTTAAGAGAAAGACTTGACTATTTAGCTTCAAAATATCATCTCTTCTCAAGTTTATACAAAACACCGAATGGACTGAAAAATTTGAAAAATAGAATATTTTGAAATAGTAGCTTAGCTTAGAAAAACTTGTACTAAATTGTTTAAAGGTTTTGCTTGATGTTATAAAAGAATTGAGGACTTTTGGGATTTTTCAAGAGGCCCTGCCTGCTATTGCAGTATTATTAGACATAGGCTTTAGGCTTTCTGCTGTTCAGAAATTGCTGCAGGATAGTTTGCTGGAGCTGCATATCTGAAAAAATCCAAGCCCGGTGGTTTGGGCTTTGGTGGGACTTGCCTGGTTCCCAGGGACGGCGCCCGCTGCCTTTTCCATGTGTCCCCCCTGCCGGGGCTGCCTGTGTCCGGAGAGGCCGGGCCCTCCCGGCTGGGCTGCCCCCGGCTTACC